CAGAGCCCTGAGGCCAAGAGGACAGCAAGAAGGCGAGGGCAGCCTGGGGTTGTGCACGGGGATAACCTCCAGCAACAGCCCACCTGAACCCACCCGGGGCGATGCTTGGGCTCCGTGCTGCCTCCCTGCCGAAGGAGGATGTGCCACGGGAGCGAGCTGCAGCCCCCTTTGGCCGGATGCAGATGTCCAGCTTGCCGAGGGGACCCCAGGTGTGGCTGCAAGGACCCTTTGCTGCCCCATTCAGTTGGCAGCCCATGACCTTTGTCAATCACAGGCCATGGATTTTGGTCCAAGAAGTTCTCTTTTGGGCAGGGCTGGAAGCTGAGCGAGCCCCCGGGGGGGAGGGCTAATGAAACCAGCCACACTGCTGAAACGTCACCCCTCCACACACACAATGAAGCAGGGACAGGGAGGACACATGCCGTAGCCATACCTTGCCCAGATCACCAAGCAGGGCTGCCCGTGTTGAAGAGTTTGCTCTTTAGACCGGGCTTAGCCAACCTGTTTATCCAAACCCTGACAGACTGAACCCCCTGCCAAAATCCAGGCTGCAAAAAGAATTCAGATGCTCCAGACCTACTGCTGATAAGATGAAGACTATCAGGCCTCTGTGGTCTTGCCCAGATCTTCACCCCCAGCAAAAATTGGCAAGATCGAGCGCTTCAAATGAAAGACAAGGCCCTTGCTGCTACAGTCTCCACAAGACCACCAAGCCCTATTTTAATGTACATAATCAAAACCTGTCCCGTGTTCTGTCCGATAGCTCCTTCTCTCCTCCGATCCCACCCCAGGGCTCAGTGTCCCTCACCACAGCACCTAAGAGCCAGGCTCCCCGCAAGACTGCAGCCCGACTCAGCACCAGGGTAGATCAGAGCTCAGACAGAATTTCCTTTCCCATGCTAGTTCAAGTGACTGAAACTTTGGGAGGACCAGCTCAAGAAAGCAAACCCCGCAAGGAAAACAAGCCAAAGCCGACCAGATTCACAAAGAGAACCAGAGCTAGAAGAGCTTGCAAGAAATTGCTCTCATAAAAGCCTGATGGTCATCTGTAATCGGTCTCAAAGCATCCCTGGCTCTCACTCTACATCTCACGCAGACTGGAACATCACCTCTCCAAACCCATCCGCTTTGCTGAGGAACGATGAGACAGGGGACAAAGCCTGCACGGGCACCAGAGTGACCCAAAGCAAACAGCAAGTCAAGCGGTGCTGAGCTGCCGGGTAAGGCAGGGATGATTTGCATTTATTTTAACTCATGCTCAGCGGAATGTGACACCATCAAAGCTGCCTGCGTAGTTCCACACGCTCCCTTATATACACACAGGCGCTTCCGAGCTCCGGCACGGACTCTGAGCCCCAGCCCCACTCAGGTTACAGGGTGCAGACAGCCGGGGTGCGCCGAGATACCCTCCCTCTGCTTGGTGCTTTTTTGCCATTGCCATGGCTTTCTGTTGCAATGCGTGGGAAGGAGCTGGGAAAAGCACACAGACCTGGATCCGCACCTAAAATACACCCAGGTCCATCCCCGGGATCCTGGCACTCAGCTGGGGCTCCCCCCTCCAGAAGGGGGTCCTGGGAGATGTCCTCCAGATGTGGTCCTGGGAGAAGCCCAGCAGTAGCCGAAGGGCACAGCGAGTGGGTACCTGGTGGCTGTCACCCCGGCCCGTCCTGTCTCTGGCAGGCCCCTGACCTAGTGACCAGCGTGCCATCGGGGACAGACCGAGGGCAGGCCGTGTGCTCGCCGGGTATTTTTAACACCTCTTTGACTCACAAGGCTCTAAAAAGCACAGAGATTCTTCAAATGCTTCTTAGCTCTTCCACCAAACACCCCCCAGAGCCCAGAATAGCCCCATCTACTCCCCACTGCAAACAAGGTCCCTGTTGCAGCCTCCCCAGGAAAGGGAGATCTGCGTTTCCAACCCGGGGGGAGGGAAGCAGAGCCAGACAGAGGAGGGGTGCGGAGCCGGAGCGGGGCAGCGGGTTTGTTTACAGGCACGGACCCAGTTTGTGGAGAGGCTGCTGGAAACGCTCCTCGGCCCCGGGGTCATTCCTGCTCCCAGCGAGCCTCCTGGCCCCTCCGCCTCCCCTCCGTCAGCCTCTTCTTTCAGCTCCGAAAAAGGATCACTCCCTGTTACATAACGGGACGAGCGCCGCACGGATGCGGGCTTGCACACGCGGCCTCCTTTTTACTTAACAATACCTTTTTCGGTCATACAGCCTTCCTCTCCCCGGCTGCCGTTAAATTGACAGTCAGGGGAGATGGATAGTGCCTGGCTCCAGCTATTTCAGCTGCGGAGAAGAGGGGAAAGAGGAGTGTGGTGGGATGCTCCGTGCAGAGAACAAGGTAGGGAGGTCCCGGAATCAGCAACAGCGTGGTCACAGCAATCACTTGATGTCACCGCAGGGGGATGCTGTGGGCACCGCAAGCCCAAGGGAAAAAGTCCCCGTAGGAGAGGGGGGATTGGCTCTCTGGAGAAGCCGGACCTTCTTCTTGGTGTTTTTCTGTTGATTCTTCTGCTCTGGGATGAGGCGCTCTCGGTGCAGAGTGGTAGCAACGCCCACAAAGGCGGCTGTGAGAAGGCTGCAGGAGCAGCACGCTACTCCCCAAACACAAGCTGGCAGAAGAGTACCCAGCAGCAAACCCGCTCCTAACACCCAAAACACTGCCAGGACACCTCCTTTTCCACCACCCACCACCTAACCCAGCCACTGACAGGAACAGAGAAGGACCTCATCTGAAAGGATGAAGCCTGCTCATACTTTGTGACCAGCAACAGTTAGAGACAGGATGTGTGCACCCATCTGCTGCCCCGTGTTTGTCCACCTGTTCTCAGAGGCAGGAGCAGTGATGCCTTGAATAGCACATGCTCCCAGAACAGCTTCTGGTATTTTTTTCCACCTGTAAAGGGTACCCAGACACAGTGCCAGCCAGAATGCCAGTGCCAGGGCTGTGCCAGGGCTGGCCAAGCAGCGATCAAGTTGCAAATACTTAAATGGAAGAGAAATGTCACCAAATCCACGCTGTGTCCCTGGACAGGCAGCTGGCAGCAGGTCTGAACTAGAGGTTTCTCAGGACAGGAGTGGCCACCTGGGCCAGCCATGAGTACAAGTCTCGGCCACCCTTCTGAGTGGATCAGGGACAAAGTGCAGTGGCAAGCCAGCATGGAGCACCTCCCGTCCCAACTCTCCTCCATTACATGCCTCATCTCAAATGTCTGTCTCGGACATTGTCTGAACTCTTCTCTCCTACCAGATCACAGCTTTCACAACAGGCAGACACTGACAGCTCTCGGGGCAGTGTCCCGCTGAGCCCCAGCCCTCCACATGGGCTTCCAGGATCACTAAAAACCTTCCACCCTTGATGAAAGACAGGAAAACCTCCACCCTAACACCCCTTCCTTTCAGGAGGCCAAAGCGCTGTCCTAGGCCCAGCCTTCTGGGTTGGGGTGGCGACTACAGCAGCAGAAACAGGAGAGGAAGATGTTCCCTGCAGCAACCCATGAGCAACCCCATCCTCCTGGCAACGGGTCAGTTCACACTGCAACTGTCCCCTTCACACCAGACCTGCGGACTCCTGACTGTCCCAGAACAAGAGCAGAGCCAGCGTGGATTTCAGCATGGACACATACAGCCCCAGGGGCACGGGGTTAGTTCAAATGGTCGTATTTGCACCCTGTCCTGATCACGACACCAAGGAACCACGGGTCTTCCCAACATCACCTCCAGCCCAAGGTTTGCCTGCAGCACACGTGGAGTCACCCAGACCTGTCAAAATGAAGCAGCTACAAACGCATTCACCCTCACGCTGCTCCACCAGCACAATCTGTGGAGCTCCTCCACCTCCCAGAGCCAGGCATGTGCTGTGTGTATGACAGCTTCTCTAGTGGAAAATACCAATGCCACATGTCGGTGCTGAAGGCTCCCTGGATGACCGGGACACAGCTTATTAGGAGGTGATGACGTGCCTATTCAAGCTCTCATACTTCTGTGCTTACACACAAGGATTGGGTTCCAGCTCATTCCCCAGAAGACCAGAGTCCATTTTGGAGAAATGGGAGCAACACCCACCTCCTCCCACCCAAGGAAACAGACTCGGGAGTGATGGCCAGCAGCCCCTGACCTCAAAGCGCTTCGGCAACCTCTGCTGGGGGCAGCTTAAATTACCAGCTCGGTTATAATGTGCTACTCTGCACATTCTGACACCAGCTTTGAATGCCTGAGAGAGAAGAAAGGGGGCAGGAGTGGGAAAAGCACCACTCTGAGACTCCCCATAGCCAAAGTCCTTCCGGGAATGCTTTCCTTTTACTCCAAAGAACCATATCTTCAGCTAGTGGTAATCACCAGCCTACACAAGAAAACAGAAATGCTGTCTGTTTGTGTGTCTTGGCCTAGTGCCTTACCACCCAGAGGCACTGGCCCCAGAAAAGCTTGGCAAGTACGTACCAGCTGGAAAGGAAATCTGTCCCTAATACATCTGGGGGTCACTGCCCAAGGCATGGGCGCTGCTGGCCCACTGCAGATCACAGAGGCGTGCATCAGCGAGAGCAAAGGCCCTGAGAGGATGTACTCTGAGCTGTTACTTGACAAGTCGCTGTTGCCTGTGCCTGTTTATTCTCCTTTTGCAGAAAAAACAAGCCGAGAACCCTGGGCAGTGAGAGACCAGGAGGCCAGCAGAGGCCAGTCTCTCCCTGGAGAGCCACTGAGCTTCCCCTTTCACGAGGCAAGAAGCCTCCCATTCTCAGGGCTGGACCCTTCCTTTCCCCTGTCATTAAAGGATGGGAGGCTGCCTGCTAGAGTTATGTTACTGCTCACAGGGCAAACAGCTCCTAGTGCAAACCTCTGAAATGTTTACTCTACAACCAGGCGACATCTTTACAGAACCTTGTTGTCTGATGTGACAGAAAGCATTTATCTACATTCAGGCAAGAGCTCCGTTTTAGACTGTAACTCCAAAGGCAGTGCCACCTCGCAGAGCTGTGAGGTTGGTCGCTGAGGCCTTACCTTTGAATGAGGGTCCCGAAGAGCAGGTGGAAGACCTTCTGCATGTTTTCCGTGCACAGCCAGCTCCAGTGATCCATCAGCAGCAGACGAAGCACATCCAGGGCCAGGTCAGCCAAAGCTGTCTCAGAGTCTGCCAGGAGGAAGAGGAGGGTCAGATGAAGAAGCCAACTCTGCACTTAAGCAAAGCTGGTGGAAAGCATCACCCGAAACTCACTCTTTTCCCCAACAGCCTGCTCGACGCTCTTCTCCCCAGCCCAGCACCTTGTGCCACATGCAGATGAGCTGCTGCAGCACAGCCAGCCTGGAGAGCCCGCTGTCCCAGGCTCCTGCCCTGATCACTCTCTTTTATTTCCACTCTCATCCAAGCAGCCCCAACTTCCCTACCAAGGGATGCACCAGACCAGAACGTGGTTGCTCCGAGCACCCAGTTTCTGCTCAGTTAAACTGAGGTGTTATTAAATCCCAGTCCGTGCACAGGGATGGCAGCGTGCCCAAAACAGGTAAGAAAGAAGGCAGCGACTGTAGCCAGGAGAAAAGTAGATTGCTCAGGAGTATTTTCCATGTCTTCACCAACGCTTTCCCCTCTTCCAACGCGCAGTTTTCTGGGCGCAAGACTCTGGTCCGTGTCTGCAGGCTGCCATCGTGTGGCAGGTTCAAGTCTCAGCAGGAAGATGGAAGAGCCACATCTGGATAAACCAGATGCATCAGTTCAGACAAAAAACCCCACACGTGCCTTCATACCCCTGGTGACACAGGCCTGGGACAGCAAAACCTCTTTCTGATCCTCAGAAGGACATCAAGCCCTTCAATGTTAACACATTCTACTTGCTAGAGAATTATTTTTACGCTGCTTGGCTGCAAAGCATCACAGGTGTTAAGCAGAACAAGCTTACTGATGTACCACAAACCTGACTAACACAACCATTCCTAGGCCAGCGCCCCGACCTGAGGCTACTGCGTCAGCTCTGCTGGCAGAGTGAGCTCCTGTACAGCAGCTTCTCCTACTCTGCCATTCCCTGACGCCTGAGCTTTCAGCCACTCTGCCCACAGAGAGCCAACAAGACTGTTCACACACAATTTACTGCGGGAGATAAAGGGGAGAGGGATTCTGGACTCCAGCATCTTTCCTTCCCTCCCCTTCTTCTCCCTGCTACATATGAGCTGGACTAATTAACTCCAGGCCATTTCACTTGGAAAAGACGGGCCGTGAATGCATTTGGCGCCTCTTGCTCTCAGCCATGCATAAGTTCCTCCTCGTTTGCTTTGCCCTTTGAGACTTGACTTCCCTGTGCAAAAACTGGAGCAGGCTGTTTAGCTTTACCATAACCCCATACAAAGAGCATCGTCAGCAAGCTCTGTTTATTCCTGTAGCATCCAAGTCCCCTTCCTCAGAGAGCTGCTGGCCAACCTCTTCCGAGAAGTCACCCAGTGAGCAGATACAGACACTTTTTAGCCAGCCACTCCCCAGACATTCATTCCCCTTACCCTGCCAGACCAGTCTGCCCTGTCTCAGCTCTGAAGCATCACAGACCTGCAGGCATTTGACATCATTTACGTTAAATTTCCTTAAGAGTTCAGCTAACTTGGCCTGCCTGTATCTTTTTGTGCTCTGTGCAAAACACTGGCCTCCAATTGCAGTCCTGCTCCCCAGCAGCCCCAAAACAACCGCGGGCGTATGTTCAAAGATTATAGGCAAAGCTGGTAGCACAGGCTACGTTTCAGAATACCAGACTCTTCCTATCACAAGCACATGCTTTCAGTCAGAGCTTGCCAAACTTGAACCACTGGAGTGAAACTTTTGGAAAGTTCCAGCTGATACAGCTCAGCTATTCCAAGAAAAAGATTAGAGAACATATTTTTGCTCGTGTTCAGGATAATCTTGTAACCGCTCTGAGAGGCTGTAGCACCCCTGTGCTTCAGAGGAGGGATCTACCATCACAAAAGGAACATCATACTTTGAATTGGGATTACATATTCTCACCAAACCTATCCGAACTTAATTGAATCTCAAAAGGTGCGTGGACATATCAAGGCTGACTTGAGACTACAAAGAAAACATCATTTGGCCATTTTTCAGTTTCTAAGAGCTTGATTTTATAACATTGGCAGTTTAAGCAGCGTGTCCTTAAGAAACTTATTTCTGCAGTAACTGTACTGAGTACACTAAAGTGAAGATCTACAGTGACACAACTGAGCCAAGACCCAATTTGCGTCCACTAGCAATAAAGACCAGAGCGACCACCTAACAGGACTGGAAAAATGCAGTTTGCTTTCCCTTTAATCAAGGTGCAACAGGCAGGAGACCAGGTCCTTGTAGTGAAGACCCTGCAAGCTGAGCTTGCAGATGTTGGCGCTGTCGCAGGACCAAAGGAGATAGCTGAGCTCACCAGAGTCCCTGTCTGGATGTGCCCCCTGCTCTGATGTGCCCGGCCTGTTGATATCCTCCTGCAGGGAGTCTTCTTTAGCTTCTCTGCCTCCGTTGCCTTCGGAAGCCTTGCTGGGGACGGCCTCCAGCAGCTTCTCCTGCTTCTGGATAAAGGACTCCATCGCTGCCAGTGACAGGGTGCCAGAGACCTACAAACACACCGGGGTATTAGTACCACAGCAATGAGCTGCACACAGCCAGAGCTCAACATATATATGACATCTCCACTGCCCAGACAGCCTCCCACCACCTGGTTTTCACCTTGCTGTAGTTAACAGCACAGCTAGGGCTGCTTATTGCTTTTCTGCAAAGGCCTGGCATGCAGGAACAAGGCTGCAGCAGCCACAACCCTTGTGCACATGGATTATTCCAAGCCAGCATCCGAACAGGGCAATGATTAGGATCATGAAAAGATTATGAGAGGGATCTGAACTTACAGTGCTGCCCTCCCTGATCGAGTACACGATCCTGTCGTGCACTTCACTCACACTCAGCACTGGAGCAATTTTACTGGATGAGAATCTCAGCCTGGACCTGAAGAAGAGAGACATGCCACAGTCAGGGTTTTCTCCACAAGCTGCAAGTGAGGAGTTTCCCAGCCCCAGCCAAGAACCTGGACCAGCTATCTTTGTCCAGTGTCATGTCCAAGCCAAGGAGCCTGATTAGACCTAAACTGGTTCAAAAAAGCATCTGCCCCCAGGACAACTAAGAAGTGGCAGCAAAACCGTGCAACAAAAGCATTAAAATGCTTTTCCTCAACTACACGTGGGCCTTGCCAAGGCTTTCCAACATTCACCACATACACTTTCTCTTCGGCAGGTGTGTCACATATAAGCTTATGTGCACATATAGGCATTTCTGTTCAGCAAGGTGCGAGCATTGCAGCATACTCAGGGAAGTGGTCAGAAAAGCCTCTGAGATGAAACACACTCAGCAGGATTGGGAAATCCTATTATAAACAGTCGCACACAGAAAGAAGGGTGTGAAAGGGTGTTTGGGATTGTGGAACAAATGGTCAAATAGCCCTTTTATCATTAAGGAATGTCCTTTTCAGCTAAGACGCTTCACAACATGTACTTTTTTGGTTTGTCTTTTTGTCCAAAGCAGCTTTTTCTAGCAGAACATCTATTTTCTGGAAAAAAAAAAAGCACCATACTCACGCAGAAACCTTCCCTTTATTCTGTAAGGGAAGAATCACTGATGAGCACAATGAGGCTCGTCACTGCCAGCAACACTAAATAAACACTTGGTGAGCAACATACATGCAATGACCTTCAACACTACTCCTAAATAAATATCCAAGAGTTTGCTGGGCAAGGCAGCATGCCACTGTGTGAAACACATGGGAAAGGCAAGCAGACAACTTACAGCTTTATTTTGCACAACATATGTATGTCATGTGCACGTTTAAGGGTAAAAAGCAATTCTCCAGGAGCATCAACATCCTTGCCAGCAAGTGCCACGGCCTCACAGCTCCCTCAGGAGGACACCCACCTTCTGTGAAAACCTGAGCATTCTTGGAAAACCCTTTATCCAAAGAGGAACTCAAATCCCCTTGCTCAGGATGTGAAAGAGGAAGCAGTTCAGCTACAGTACGCCAGCAGTGTATCATCCACAACAGGTAAACCACCAAGTCAGTGTTTCCCAGAATGGAGTCGGTTTATGTATGAAACCATGCTGTGCATAAAGCACAGGGGAAGCTGAAGGAGCCCTTACTTGTTAGCCTTCTTCCCATCTGTCTGAGATTTCCCATCCACTTCAGACTCGCTAAGATCCTCCGTGGGGCTCTGGGGCTCTGACCTGGGGAATGCCGTCTTCAAAGTGTCCACAATGGCATTGACAACGATCTGCAAAAGCCAGCAGTGCCATCAATTATTGAATATATGCCCGTTCCTTGAATATCAATTACATTTTCAGACTTGTGCTCTATTTTTCATGATAACCCCTAGGCTCTTTCAGATGGACTCTGACTCTTCCTAGCTTTACAGCTTTCTGAGCAAGCCGAGCCCAGGCACACAGGGCACATTCGAGTTATTTTGGCTACTACTGCAGCAGCCATATATGTAGACATTGAAGCCCACGAGGCATGTCTAGGTGCAGTTGTAAGCAGCGCAGATAACCCGTTTCCCACTTGTCTACCTTGTCAATCCTGGAGACAACGAAGGGCTTCTTGACAAACGCGATCCTGGCATCGGTGTTCAAGGCGAGGAACTCCTGCACCTCCTCGCTGTTTGCAACCTCGGGGACCGCACACAGTTGCTGCAAGGAAAGATGTAGCTTTAGGTCTTTTTTGAGTCAACTTCCCAACTCAATCCTGTAAAGTACAGATGGAACAGATCTGATGTCGGTACAGAGCTGTCCCGAGCGCCGCTTTCAAGCTCACAGGGGCACACAAGCACCTCACCTTCAAGAAAGATTCTAGCAGACTTTTTCTGGCTTCCACTTTATCGCTGTCCATATTTCCAAATGGGAGATCAGGGAACAGTTTCTTTGGGCCTTTGATGTCTACAAAGGAAACAAAGCCATTAGCAAGCTCGAGAAAACTGCAACAGTTGTATTAAAATCTTAATGCTCTCATGCACTGCATGCTGCCTGGCATCAGCCCAAGATAATACGTCCCTCAAACCAGAGTAGGTGAATCAGACCTTAAATCCATACAGAACTTGCATTCTGCTGGACTTCATATCATCCGTGACTTTCAATTTAAAAGAAGCAAGAACACCAGTTTAGCACAAGGACTCCGGATCACTCAAAGAGCCCAGAAATTCTCAACAAAGCAGTTTTCCAGCCAAATTCTCATATCTGTCAGAACCAAGTGATTATGTAGCGACATGCTAAATTTAATGCGGCTTTATACATAAGTAGCATTAGAAGGAACACTATTTTCTTTTTAAAAAAAGCTTATGTTCAACAGATATTACTCTACTTTCTCATATGCAAACAAGATGCTTGCAAATACCGGTGTTTCTATTCATTGTTAAGGTGCAAAACTACAGAAGCAAGTGTTCTGATCTAAATGGGAACAAGGATGTTTTGAAACACCGGCATTTGCTGCCAAAAGAAATCAGTCTTTCCTCCAGCCAGCTCTGCACAGAACAACAGAGGATGTGGGCATCGCAGCTCAGTGCCCAGAGCTGCACAGGCAGGACAGGATACCCTCAGAGCAGGGGAGCATGGACTGGAGTGAAAGGGATGAGGATTTTCTCAGGAAGCTAATGCAGGCACTGACTTTTCAGGAACTTGCGGAGCTCTGGTTTCTCCTCCAGTCTGGTCTGGAGGTTGAGGAACTCCCGGTACCGGCGGTTCACGGTGTGGTAAGCCATTTGCTGAAGGCTGCCCGCACTCTCGCCCTCCAGGGCTGTCTCATACTGAGGAGGAAGGCAACAGTCAATAATTCTTACCCCAAAACAATCCTGATGTGCTGCGGTCCCTGCTGGCCCCACAGGCATCCCACCCAGTAATTCCTCAGATTGACCCTTCCCAGGGGCCGCACAGCACTCACACCCCTCATGATGAAGGGAATGGTGAAAACAGGATATAAAAGACTCAACCAGCCCCATGCAACCCTTGGCCATGAGTGGGAACCTCTATCCCACACCCAAACAGCCACTGGAAAAGCCATCATGGCCAATACTCCCCCACTACCAGACAAAATTTGCCGTTGAGCCACACGCAGAGCAAGTCCTCGTCTCCAAACGTCACACGTGCTCCCCTGCCAGGGCAGGGATCTCAGAAAAGGGGTGACAGCCAGGGGAGCCTTTACCTTGACGGTGTACAGGGTGTAGGGGTGGAAGCCAGTCCCACTGTGCTCTCGGGCGGTGATGGTCCCAGTTATCCGCAGGTTTTGGATGACGACCGGCCCGTCGGGGCTGCTGAGGGGCTCGAAGCTGAAGGTGCTGATGGAAGCTGTTGGGGAGGATGAGAGCAGGGGCAGAGTCTGCCCGGGGTCTAGGGGGCTTTGTGGTGGGCCCTCTGCTGCCCCCAGATCTTTCCCCAAGCTGGAAGGCCTCTGCGAGGAGGATTTCTTGGAGGCAGCTGGGTTCTCCTCTTCCTTCTCAACAGCCGGGTCGATCTGGATGTCAGGGCAGGAGTTCAGCAGCAAAGCAGAGGTGGGAAGCAGGCCAGCATCCGAGCTGGTGGCAGTGCCCTCCTCCAGCTCCCCCATGCCATCCTCCGAAGCGGCCGGTCCCTCCAGCACACTGGAGGTGTCCTGGAGGGGTTCATCAAGGAACTCCCTGGCGGGTGATGGTGCCAGCAGGTCCGTGTCCTGGCCTGCATCAGGCGCGGGGGACTCCAGCTCCATACTCTCGCAAGGGAAAAGGGAGCCCAGGGCTTGTGGGCGAAGGAAGGGCTCCTCTGTGTGGCACAGCCCGCTCACCAGCTCCTCTCCCTCCTCGCCTGCAGCCCCTGCCTCTTGCCTGGGCACCTCTGTGGCCCTCGGGGAGGGGGGCAGCCCGGCAGGGGCAGCATCCAGCTGCACTGCAAAGGGCAAGCAATCGGGCACTGGGGGCGCAGGGTGGGGCTCCTCACCCCGAGGCTTCTTGGAGAAAGCCCCGACGAGGAGCAAGTTGATCCAGTCAGGATCGGCCATCTTCCTGACGGCCGGCAGCAGCACGTTGCAGGCGACCAGCTCCACCACCACAAAACGCCCCGTCCGTGTCTCCAGGTGGGGCCAGGGCACCAGCGCCCGCAGCAACGTCTCCACAGCAGCCCGGGCGTAGCCCACCTCAGCCGCTGGGCTGCGGAGGGCAGGATGCGACCCCGCCAGCCGGCTGTACTCCCGCCACAAGCCCTCGGGATCAGCCTTCAGGGCCTCACGGGCCCGCAGGTAGCTCTGCAAGTGGTGCCCGCAGAGGAGGAGGAGGCGGTGGGCTAGAGCTTGGCGATCCACTCGCCCCATCCGCCGCCTCAGCTCGGCGGCCAGCCCCATCATGGCTTTCTCCACCTCAGCCTCAAAGGCCGGCTCGCTGCTGACGGTGCGGTACCAGGAGGCGACGAAATCCCGCACCACTTTGCGGACGGTGCCAGCGATCTCCCTCTCCAGCCGCCTTTTGTCCGCCGGGCAGTGGGGCTGGGGCCGCAGGGAGGTGACAAAACGTTCCAGCCGCAACCGGCGGCCGGGGGGGCTGAGGGCCCGGGGGCCCAGCCAACCTCCCAGTGCCGCCAGCATCCCGCAGAGCAGCCCCAGCGCCCGCAAGTCCAGCAGCAACTGGAGGGCCAGCAGCCAGCCCAGCGTGGCTACCAGCACCACCAGCGCCCGACGGATGCCTGAGGGCCCCCGGCCCGCCATGGCGGGGATGGGCGGGGGGAGCCACCGCGGCCTCAGTTGGCGGACACCGGGGTTTATCAAAGCGTAACTGTACTGGGCAGCGGGGCTCAACCGACCGGGCTCCTTCACCGGGCGGCGGGGCCCAGGCAACCGGGCTCCTCACCAAGGTCGCTCTACAGGCACCGGAGCTCACGCTGCCGCAGGGCACCGAGCCGCGCCCTGCCCGTACTCGGCACAACGAAGCACACCCGGCCACATCCCCCCTGCCGCCATCCCGGGGCTGGCAGCCGGCGCCCGCGGCAAAGCCCCTCAGCGCACCGGCCGCCACTTCCGCCGCCACTTCCGCCGCCACTTCCGGTAACCCGCGCCGAGGAGCGCCTCCCCACGGCGCCCCCTGGCGGGCGGGCGGGCTCGCGGGAGGACTTCAAGACGAAATTATTTTTTTTTTTCTTTTTTAAATCCCCAAAAATCTGGCAGCGCGACGGTTTTTTTCACTGGGTTTAGTTTGTCGGTGGTGTTAAGCGCAGCAAGACTTTATAGCGATGCACTGTTTTTATTTCTTTGTATTATTACTTTTTTGCATGCATCCTAAAAAGAAGCGTTGAATTTATTATGCATGAGTAAAAAAAAATAAGTTTTCATCTCCACTGTTTAAAAAGAAGAGAGTCTGGTGATGGTGTAAATAGGCATTCGAGGTGCTGAGCAGCCTGAAAACACCTGGGCCCTATTAGCTTCATCAAACATGGCCAAAACAAAAGAAAAACAAGAAACTAAGGTGATTTGGCATCAAATGGGGTTGAGAGTCATCACCTACAGCCTGCAGCATGTAATTAATTGGGAGGAAATTGCAGTTGTGCTGCTCACCAGTGGTTGGGCTGCGGGAGTAAAGGGGGCTGGGGTAGGGACAGCACTTTGGTGGCCCCCATGAATGTGGGGGCTTTTCTGCTCACAGTGTTAGTTTTGGGCTTGTGCTCAGAAGAATTTAGGCTGAAATGTTTGGTGGATGTTAAAAGTACACCTGGATTTCCTTCTGTTGCAGCAAAGGAGGTGTGGGCCCCCCTTTTGTCTCCGAACGCTTGTGGGGTTGCTGGGGACAGTCCAGGCAAGAGGAGATGCAAGATGGCACCAGGAACGGCTCCTCTCCATCAGAAAAGTCAGAGGAATTTTAAAAATTCTTTCTGGGGGTTGCGGGTAGGGGGCTTGGAGGGTTCCCTGCTCGGTTGTTAGGATCTTTGCTGGGTACATCCAGATTCCGGTGGTTGAAGCGTTGTGGGAAGGTGTTGCCGCAAGATTTGTTTGTCCTGAGGGATGGTGTTTGTGTTGTGTGGTTAAATAGGGAAGGGTTGTTTGGGGCTGAGAAACTCGTTGGCTGTAACATACAAAACCTGTCAGGGTTTTTCTGTTTTTCGTTTGTGTGTGATAGCAGCTCTTAGGTTCATGTGAAGAGCAAAAAAAAACAAGGAAAAAAAAACCACCCAGGAGGCAGAAGATGTTTGTGCCTGCGGGAGCTGGTGTTGGGTGGGATTTGGGTGCTGCAGATGGCCGCAATGGGGAGCATGGGGTGAAATTGCTCAGTCCTGGTTGAAGAACTTGGCAATATTGTAAAAATTGCCCAAAATATGTCAGTTTTGAGAATGTCTTTTAGCTGCGTGTGGGTACTGCAGGAAGATCAGCAGGCAAAACTTGGTTTAATCAAAACCTTCCTGTTTAAAAAAGCATCCTTTTGTGAAAGACTTCTCAAGGGTTTTCTTGCAGCCTGAATCCCCTGGGAAGCAGAGGTGTAATGCTGGTCTCTGTACTGGCTTGGTGCACATCCAGGGGCATTTCTGGGTGCTGGAGCTGTTTGCGTGCAGGGTTGTGCTGTACCCCTCACTGCCCCGGTGCTCCCACCCCTGCTTCAGTGTGTTATGGTGTAAATACATATGTTAGACCAGCACCAGTACCTGGTGCCATATGTTGGATGGGTATGAATAAATGATGAAGTAGGTCTGAGTTTATTTTTTTTCTTTTTTTTTTTTTTTTTTTTCTTGCAAGCAGGCAAAACGTACATCTTGCAAACTGTTTCTGCCTCCTAGGCATATGTAAGGGAGAGCTTGAGCTCTTGGGTTAACAAAGCTGAACAGCAGAACTTGACTTCTGCTTCAGCATCGAACCTCTAAGAGGTTTACATCCTCCTCCTCCTCTGCTGGAGCTCACCACATTGCAGCTAAATCCTTGTGCCTCAGTTTCCCCTTTGACCCCAGCCCTCCCCATCTGCTCTGGTTCCCCTTGCCTCTTTAAGAGAGATCTTGTGGAGAGGATTTTCTGTTGCATAGGCTGAGCAGCCTTGCCCTTATATTAGGGTACCAGAGCTGGAGGATGCCATGCTGCCAGACGCCAACACATTTAAATTGTGATGCCAGCAGTGACAAACGTCACTGTTGCCCCACTGACTTTTTTTATTGCGGATGGGAGGGGGGTGGTGGGGTTCTTTGGTGGGTACTAACTCTTCAGTGCCATATGAATGTGTGGCGTAAAGGACCTGTGGGGAGCTATTGTTCCTGAGTTGGGCTGGGAAGCGTGGCCAATTAAAAGAGATTAATTTATAACAGGTACGAATGAGGAATCTGACAGCTTATTATTAATGGATAAATGCAGAACAGAGCACATGGCACAAGGAGCAAAGAACCTTGCTGATCTCTGGAGGTGAGATGCTGTGTACAAACCAGATTCCACCTGTCCTTGGGGATGAGGGTCCTCTAAATGGCTGATATTTGGGATTAAATCACCTGTCTGAGATGCTTTGACTGTCTCAAGCACCTGGTTTCATTTGGATCAAAGATTTTCCTGCTTGCAAGCATGGGGGTGGGATGGGGAAGAATTTCTGGGGTCTTTAAATATTTGTGTCTGTCTTAGTTAAATAGTGCTTTGCTTAACGGGCCACTCTTGGGAAGGGCGAACCTCTGCAAAGATGCTTTATGAAAGTTACAGCTGCCTGGAAGTTTTAAAGGGGGTGGATGTAAATGATGCAGGGAAAAATGAACTGGTTTGAGCATGCCATCTCTTAGAGCTTCTCCTGGGAGGTAAAATATCTGCAATTCCCTGTTTTGACAGCAGTTTCCTATGTGGAAAATAAGTTAAAGTGTGATTCCTCTTCTTGTAATTGGGATGCAAAAGAGGTCACGGCACGGCGAGGCGCTGCCACAGCACGCAGCTTCATCCCAGGGCTGCTAGCCACCCTCTTCTCCCCCCTCAAAAAAGGGAGGAACAACTTGATTAGATGCATGGGGAAGGTAGGGTCACAAAGAAACCATCCTTGATCATTCCCCATAGCGAAACTGGGGCTGTTGACCATGCTTCTGTGCTGTTTGGGGGACGAGTATTTTAGGAGCAGTCAGATCTGCCTAAATATCTGCAAATAAATGGACTTGTTCTTTGAAGTAGGAACTTGGAGGTCGAGTATGGAAGACTTAGACACCTGACTCTTCTTCTGTGGACTTGAAGAGGGGAGTGTGATGCTGTTGAGATGATGATCATGACTTGAGCTCTGACACAAGCTGAAAAGCATCCGCGGCACTGGCCCGGAAGGCTATAAGGTCCTTTAAGGTGCCTACACTGAGTACAGGTTCAAGGCTGGTTATAGGATCCTTTAGGTGCCTACACTGAGTATAGGTGTTTTGCAAGCTATTGCAGAGCTTTCCCCTAACTGCATCCTTCCTTGCCTAGGTATTAGAGCAGACTGGCTCCTTTACATTTGATCTCGTGGTTGTTTTGCTTGTTTTCTGCCTCCTCGGGAAGCAGGGTTATTAATATGGAGACAGTCTGTACAGTGTCTGGAACAGAAAGACCATGGTGGGACCGTAGTTGCTATAGAAATGTAATTTGGAAGGTCCTTTGCCTCCTACGTGAGCCTTTAAGTGAACAAACAAGCATGGTGTTGCTTTTCTGCGATGCTCCGCCAGCTTTGAGCTTGGCTTTACGCCTGCTGTCCCGTGATGTCGATTTTGAAGGGGCTCTTGGGCACTGGAAGCTATTCCTCACAAAAACATCCTGCAGCTGGGAGTCTGCCTGCTAGGGATGATAGCTCTGATCTGCCTGTCTGATTTAGCAGTGCAGCTCTCTGCCTGCCAGGGAACACAAGGCGATGAAGGAGCCGTTGTCGTGCTGTGATGCTCAAGAGTTGGCCAGCTCTTCCCAGTGCCACTTCTAGACTCTTCAGGCTGAAGATGTCCCGGTGCATTGCTCGTACCTCCCGGGAGGGTCTGCGCTCATCGATGTGTTTGCTATGGAAATCCATCAGCACGAGAGGGGAGGAATCTCTCTGTACCCAGTCCTGACCCTGGGGGGAACTTGAGGTGTAATCAAGTTGTCTGGATTTGAGATCAGTCCTGAGTTGGAGAGGAGGAAAGGGGCAGGATGAGTGGCCTTCACGTCGTCCAGGGATATGAGCCCCCCTTAGAGGATTTCTGGTGCCCTGTGGTTTGAGGAGCATGGATCACCATTGCATCCAAGCTTGTCAGCTGGAGTGTGGCTTGGAGGCCTTGCAGACGTGAACCACGCTTTATAATATATCCCTTAAATCTTCCACCCAGACCGCGCCCTGCTAGGAGGCAACATCCCAGCTGAATCTCACACTTAGGTTGATTAACATACTCCTAGCTCATAAATCTAAGAAAGTAGATTTGGGGAAGAACTTTCCTGCCTCCAGTAAAACTTGCCTCTAAATTATTTAACAAGCTTCTTAAGCAACTCAGCCATTTTGCATGGAATTTGTCAAGGCTCCATCAGCTATACACAGTGCAGTGTGACAGCCATACTTTTATTATGAGCAGTGTATTAATCTTGGAATAGTGCTATTTGTTTTCCTCTCTTGCTTTTATGGTGCTTAAAAGCATGTATCTTCTCCTGAAAATCAATAACTAAAGCTATGAATAATAAAAAACACTGCAGTGAATGGCTCATAGAGATCCTATGGATGTAAGTTGCAGGAGTAATGACTCTGTTTGCTATCCATTAAGTATGTGAACTCAGAAGAATTATGCAGATTATAATAGCTGTATCAACATAAGTATGTTTTGCTGATAGACTTTCCTGATTGGATCCACGGGATATAAGCCTGCTAATCCCCTGTGCAGAGGACCTGATTATATTAGAGTGTTCTGCAGATCTGCAGATAAAGTTAAGAAACAATTAAAAAAAAAAAAAAAAAAGTTGGCCCATGTGTGGGGTTTTTCAAAGGCACTCAGGTTGCTGCTGTATTTGGGTTTTTCTTGAAGCAAATGTGCGTTTTCTCTGTGGTTTTGGTGGAAGCCAAGAGCCAGCTCCAAGCTCTGGTGACAATGCAGACGTGTCTGGTTTATGTT